TAGTTCAGCATATATACACTACAAGTATGTTCCCACAATGGGGTGGTAGAAAGGTACGTTTCGGACTCCGTACTTCTTCCAGTTCTTAATTTTGGTAGATTTGATGTTCCTCCCATGGATTGAGAGCATTTCACACATGTTTCTCCTCATAGTATGTGGTGAACCTATGAATCCATGTTTTGGGTAAGTTTGGGTCCGTCTAGTTCATCATTTACACTAAAAGTATGTTCCCACTATGAGGAGGCACAGAGCTATGTTTCATACTCTTTACTTCTTCCCGTTCTCAAATTTGGTAGATTTGATGTTCCTCCCATGGATTGAGACCATTTCACATATTTTTTCTCATCATAGTCATGTGGAGAACCTATGAATCCATGTTTAGGGTAAGGTTGGGTCCGTCTAGTTTAACATATACACTACAAGAAAGTTCCCACTATGGGGAGGTATAGAGCTACATTTCGGACTCCTTACTTCTTCCAGTTCTCAATTTTGGTTGATTTGATGTTCCTCCTATAGATTGAGACCATTTCACATATGTTTATCTTCTTAGTCATGTGCAGAACTTATGAATCCATGTTTTGGGTAAGGTTGGGTCCGTAAGTTCCCACTATGGGGAGTCACAAAGCTACAATTCGGACTCCTTACTTCTTCCCGTTCTCTATTTTGGTAGATTTTATGTTCCTTCCACGGATTGAGATCATTTCACACATGTTTACATAGTCATGTGAAGAACCCATGAATCCATGTTTTGGGTAAATATGGGACCCTCTAGTTCAACATATATACACTACAAGTATGTTCCCACAATGGGGTGTTAGAAAAGTACGTTTCGGACTCCGTACTTCTTCCAGTTCTTAATTTTGGTAGATTTGATGTTCTACCCATGGATTGAGAGCATTTCACACAAGTTTCTCCTAAGAGTATGTGGTGAACCTATGAATCTATGTTTTGAGTAAGTTTGGGTTCGTCTAGTTCAACATTTACACTAAAAGTATGTTTCCACTATGGGGAGGCACAGAACTACGTTTCAGACTTTAGTTCTTCCCGTTCTCAAATTAGGTAGATTTGATGTTCCTCCCATGGATTGAGACCATTTCACAAATTTTTCTCATCATAGTCATGTGGAGAACCTATGAATCCATGTTTTGGGTAAGGTTGGGTCCGTCCTGTTTAACATATACACTACAAGAAAGTTCCCACTATGGGGAGGCATAGAGCTACATTTCGAACTCCTTACTTATTCCAGTTCTCAATTTTTGTAGATTTGATGTTCCTTCGATGGATTGAGACCATTTGACACATGTTTACATAGTCATGTGAAGAACATATTAATCTCTCTTTTGGGTAAGTATGAGACCGTCTAGTTCAATATATACACTACAAGTATGTTTCCACAAAGGGGTTGCACAGAGCTACGTTTCGGACTCCTTACTTTTTCCAGCTCTTAATTTTGGTAGATTTAATCTTCCTCCCATGGATTGAGAGCATTTCACGCTTGTTTCTCCACATACTCATGTGGAGAACATATGAATCCATGTTTTGGGTAAGTTTGGGTCATGTCTAGTTCAACATATACACTACAAGTATGTTGCAACAATGGGGAGTCACAAAGCTACATTTCGGACTCCTTACTTCTTCTAGTTCTCAATTTTTGTTGATTTGATGTTCCTCCTATGGATTGAGACCATTTCACATATGTTTCTCTTCATAGTCATGTGGAAAAACTATGAATCCATGTTTTGGGTAAGGTTGGGTCCGTCTAGTTCAACATATACACTACAAGTAAGTTTGCACTATGGGGAGGCACAAAGCTACTATTCGGACTCCTTACTTCTTCAAGTTCTCTATTTTGATAGATTTGATGTTCCTTACGTGGACTGAGATCATTTCACACATGTTTAAATAGTCATGTGAAGAACCTATGAATCCATGTTTTGGGTAAGTATGGGACCGTCTAGTTCAGCATATATACACTACAAGTATGTTCCCACAATGGGGTGGTAGAAAGGTACGTTTCGGACTCCGTACTTCTTCCACTTCTTAATTTTGGTAGATTTGATGTTCCTCCCATGGATTGAGAGCATTTCACACATGTTTCTCCTCATAGTATGTGGTGAACCTATGAATCCATGTTTTGGGTAAGTTTGGGTCCGTCTAGTTCATCATTTACACTAAAACTATGTTCCCACTATGGGGAGGCACAGAGCTATGTTTCATACTCTTTACTTCTTCCCGTTCTCAAATTTGGTAGATTTGATGTTCCTCCCATGGATTGAGACCATTTCACATATTTTTTCTCATCATAGTCATGTGGAGAACCTATGAATCCATGTTTAGGGTAAGGTTGGGTCCGTCTAGTTTAACATATACACTACAAGAAAGTTCCCACTATGGGGAGGTATAGAGCTACATTTCGGACTCCTTACTTCTTCCAGTTCTCAATTTTGGTTGATTTGATATTCCTCCTATAGATTGAGACCATTTCACTTATGTTTATCTTCTTAGTCATGTGCAGAACTTATGAATCCATGTTTTGGGTAAGGTTGGGTCCGTCTAGTTCAACATATACACTACAAGTAAGTTCCCACTATGGGGAGTCACAAAGCTACAATTCGGACTCCTTACTTCTTCCCGTTCTCTATTTTGGTAGATTTTATGTTCCTTCCACGGATTGAGATCATTTCACACATGTTTACATAGTCATGTGAAAAACCTATGAATCCATGTTTTGGGTAAATATGGGACCCTCTAGTTCAACATATATACACTACAAGTATGTTCCCACAATGGGGTATTAGAAAAGTACGTTTCGGACTCCGTACTTCTTCCAGTTCTTAATTTTGGTAGATTTGATGTTCTACCCATGGATTGAGAGCATTTCACACAAGTTTCTCCCATTTTTACCCAAAACATATATTCATAGGTTCTTCACATGACTATGTAAAAATGTGTGAAATGGTCTAAATCCATTGGAGGAACATCAAATCTACCAAAATAGATAACGGGAACAACTAAGAAGTCTGAATTGTAGCTTTGTGCCTCCCCATAGTGGGAACTTACTTGTAGTGTACATGTTAAACTAGATGGACCCAACCTTACCCAAAACATGGATTTATATGTTCTCCACATGACTATGATGAGAAACATATGTGAAATGGTCGCAATCCATGGGAGGAACATAAAATCTACCAAATTTGAGAACGGGATGAAGTAAAGAGTCCGAAACGTAGCTCTATACCTCCCCATAGTGGGAACATACTTTTAGTGTATATGTTGAACTAGACGGACCCAAACTTACCCAAAATATGGATTCATAGGTTTACAACATGACTATGAGGAGAAACATGTGTGAACTGCTCTCAATCCATGGTAGGAACATCAAATCTACCAAAATTGAGAACTGGAAGAAGTACGGAGTCCGAAACATACCTTTCTACCACCCCATTGTGGCAACATACTTGTAGTGTATATTTTGAACTAGACGGTTGATGATAGGATTTGTGTGTAGGTGATATGAAATGATATGAATGATGTAAATGATATGAGGTGGAATGCAAACAAGGGTGAATAAAGATGAGACGGTATGGTGCAATCACAATCAATCAATTCCTCTTAACCATCATAGTTGATGTAGTATAAGAGGTTATCAATCCATCAGGGTTTGTTGCTACTCTATGAGAATATGCAAACACAAGAAAGTCAAGCCAAACAGTAAAATGATTGGGGAAGTAACTCTAGCAACCTAATGAAATTAAATGCAAGTGACAAAGCAGTAAATAGAAGCGGCTAGACCAAGAGCTCGATCGAGTAGAACAGAGTAACTGGACACGATCAAGTTGAGGGTCGAGTAGAGGTAAACACAGAGGAAAAGCGATAAAGATGCAAACTTTAATACAATAATACGAAGGTTAGGGTCTAAGACAGGGTCTTGCGACTAGGAGAAGACTATACTTAATCAATCTTGCTCATTAACCACTTGTACACAAGCTATCTCTTGGTATTGAGCTTCTCTAGCCTAGCTAACCCTTTCCCAAGGTGAAAGCTATCATCTAAGGCAAGGTCAGCCAGTGAGAATCAAGCGTTAGGATCATTTCTCAAACTAACCCATCCAACACCTATAAACTCCATTTCGAGAGCAAGCATATTGGAGCTCTTAGTGGACCTTTTCAAGCGATTTCCCAACATTCCCATGAGGAAAATCGCCTAGACTCATACACGCCATGGTCAGTGGTCGTGTAGCCTTAAAGCTTGTCCAAAAGAGAGAAAGATTTCTAGGTCAAGAACATAAAGCAATATAGATTAAGCATAAGAATCCTCATTGACCACAAGGTAGTGAATGGGAAATATCAATTCCTATTCCAACATCCCACGGCTGGTCCCTCTAAGATGCTCGTGCCCAATCCTAGCTTCACAACAGTTGTAGAAGGCTACAACATCGACTTCAGCCTTCCACTCCACACACTAGTTGGGCATGTACTTGCATTTCCCATCAAAATGCTTGATGTACTTGCATTTTGCATAGTTTTAGTACATCTTTTATGCAACTTTTGCATAGTTTCAGCATCCATTAGCATCATATCTTGCCCTTTTCCCCTTCTTATGCATTCATAGTAGTTTTATGTTGCATTTGCATACATGTGAATGTTTGATCCCTAAACAGGTCTATTTGGAGCACTTTGGAGCAATTGGGACGTGAGGAGCAAGGAAGGACATGGTGCATAGATTCAGCTTGGCCACACATGCTTGGAATGAAGAAGAAGACTGTCTAGAAGCCAGCTCGACCCACCTACTCGACTAGCCGGTCAGGTTCCTCAAATCGACCAGCCAACAACTCAACTCGATCGAGCTGCTTTTCCACACACAAATCCTATCATCAATTTGGCGCCGTTGCCATTTGGGATTGAATACTATTGCATTTGAGTTTCCAAATAACTTGGACGATCAAGCTATCCCACCTGTGATTTTTGTATTGCTGGGTTTTTTATTTCTTTTGCAGATGTATGCGAACTCGATCGAGTCGAAAAACTGAGGACTTGATCGAGCTAGACTTCAACACGGGCAGAAAGCAAAGTCAGAGAACTCAGAGGGTACAAGCTGAACCAGAGGTGGTTGTTACTGAAACCATGGATGTACCAGAGGGTAATGGAAACTCTTATGGTAATGGACTCGGTCGAGCTAGGCAAACTCGACCGATTGGTCTAGGAGATGCTCCAAACCACCATCAACAAAGACAAGAGATTGTCCCACCACCTGTGCAGAACCACAACTTTGAGATCAAGCTGGGAATGATCAACCTTGTGCAGAACATGCAAGATGTTCCATGGATTGCCAGGTGAAGACCCCATTGATCACCTTGATGAGTTTGATAGGTTATGTGGCTTGACTAAGATCAATGGTGTCATCAAGCTGAGACTCTTCCCTATGTCTCTTGCTGAGAAGGCTCACCAATGGGAGAAAAGCCTGCCCCATGGCACAATCACCACTTGGGATGAATGCAAGAAGGTATTTCTTGCTAAGTTCTTCTCTACCGGTCGCACATCCAAGTTAAGGAGTGAGATATCAAGCTTCATTCAGTGGAACAATGAGACTTTCGCAGACGCTTGGGAAAGATTCAAGGGATATATCAGTCAGTGCCCTCACCATGAATTCAGCAATGAGTCCTTACTCTCCACACTCTATTGAGGATGATTGGCAAGGCAAAGAGAAATGCTAGACACGGCCAGCAATTAACACTTCCTCAACCAAGATGTAGAGGATGGCTGACAGCTTGTAGAGAACATTGCCATCTCAACTGAAGGTTATGGAGAGAATTATGATAGCAAAGACTGGAGCTCGACCACGCACTCGTTCGAGTTAGAAGCACATATGCGAAATGACATGCATGCTCTACATTCCAAGCTAGACAAGCCGATCCTAGCTCAATTCCCTGCGAAGCAAGTCCACTCTATCTCTGGTACAACACTAATTCAAAACCAGGAAGGGGAGGAACCACAAATTGAAAGAATCTCTCCAAAGAATAAGAGGACTATTTATGGTCACACGCCATACCAAGCACCTGCGTCGTACAAGTTTGCTATAAATGGCTACAAACAACAAGGGCTCCCACCCAATTCTACGTCGCACCAACATAGTGTCCCACCCGGATTCCCACCTATGCCATACCACACTCCACCAAGTCTAAATGGGGATATGAAAGAAATGCTTCAACAACTACTCCAAGGGCAACCAAATGGTACTTTGGACATGAAGAACAAGTTGGTTGAGATAGATTCAAAAATTGCATCTTTAAGTTCAAGGGTTCAAATTATTGAGTCTTCTTCCGCTTCATCTTCATCACCCCCACGAATATGCTCAAGCCGTCACACTAAGAAGTGGTCAGTAGTTACCTAACAGAGTTGGTATGCCCCAAATCGCTGTGGACATCGATGACGAGGAAGGGGAGGATTTAGTTGAGTATACAGACGTTCCTGCAACCAACTCCTGAGCACAACACCGAACCAGAACTCGACCGAGCTAGTGAACTAGAAGCTCCACAAGAAAAACCTGAACTCGATCGAGTCATAGCACAAGCCGACAAAGCTAGTTCCAGCCAGCTCCCTAAGCCTGTTGGAAAGAAGAAGGACACCCCATCAGGCCACCACCATACAAACCCCCTTTACCTTTGTCTCAAAACAGATTGGAAGATCGAGATCACCTCAATATTCCCCTTTCGAACGAAGTGAAGTTCAGAGTCCGTCTCTTTACTTTCCAATTTCTTACTTCGCAAAAACCAATCGAAGTCCGCAGCGTCCAAGCATTCAGCATAGTGTTCTAGCAATCGTAGAACCAAAGACTTAGAGACAGCCAAAAATCTAAAACGAAGCCGAGCCATCCAGACGGACCTGAAGTTAAGATCTGTAAGTTGTACGGTCGAGATTCACGCAAAAATCGGATTTTTTGCGATCTCTTCAGCAGTTAATGCTGAATATAACCCAACTCACCACTCTTCTCTTTAACCGTGCCCACGTTTCGAAAAGGTAACTTCTCCTCTCTCTTTTACTTATTTATTTGCTCTTAAGTTTTAGATTAGATAACTCCAAATTCTTGACAGCTATCCAACCTTTGCAAAAACTTTTCGAACATTTTAGGTTGTTTTTGGTTCCAAAGTTTATTCGAAAACTCTTTCAACATCTTTTTCCTCCAACTCTCTCTTCGATTATCATGCCTCCAAAGGTGATTATCAAATAAAAGAAGGGGAAAGCGATCGCTCTCGGTGACATCGATGGGAATTTCACGCCTCATCCCAAGACGACGCTCGACGCCGAATCTCTTGACAATTTCCGGCGCGATTACGAGGTCCCTGACGAGATCGAGCTTGCTCTCCCGGCTGACGGAGAAAATCCGGAGCATGTAAGCCCCGGGTTTTGCTGCACCTATGTTTCATACTTCGAAAGCGGCAAGATCATTTTCCCAATCCCGCGCTTTCTATTGGAGGTACTTGCCCCTCTGAAGATGGCGTTCCCTCAGATGCATCCGAGCCTCATTCTCCACGCTATCGGATGCGCCGTCCAAGCCCGAGAGGAGGCCTTGACGTTCGGCGTACAAGATCTGCGGAAGCTCTTCTTGGTGAAGAGCAATACGAGGTTTCCGGGCTCGTTCTACTCTTCGCCGAGGCCGAATCGGCGGATTTGCACAAACACCTCGCAGAGAGATAGCGGGTGGGCCAACGAGATGTTCTTCTTCCAGGTCAATAAAGCCTCGATAGGCGACTTCGACTTCGGTTGTCTTCCGACGGTGTGGGCGACTAGCGTTGGTTAGCATAGGCCGAGCTCCGTTTAGGATCGACGATTATCTCATTGTGTTTGAAAAATTCCTTTATTTGATATGCGTTTTTTTTGTTCAGTTGTTGATCCAGTGCCGAACAGCCCGATCGAGTAACTCGTTGAACGACTGAGAAGAGAGAAGGTGAACTGGAATATGTTTTCCCCGGATCGGATCCGACGAGTACTCAGCTCCCCTCCTGCTCCTCCTCCAGGTAATAATCTTTAATTCGATCAACTAGAAAGTTATCATACGAGCTCGTTTATGACGAACTGTCTGTACAATCTTTCCAGCTGATCATCCGGTTCAGTCAGTCCAAGATTCCAGCTCGGCGTCTACCGTTCCTCCTATCTCCCGCAAGCCAAGGATGACTCGTCGCCAGACTCTCAGAGATCGAACCGCGAAAGGTGCCAAGGGCGCCCCTTCAGGCGGGAGTCGAGTCTGTTCTGGTTAATTCGCAGCGGCCATGGAGGAGGCCATGGCTTCGAAGCCTGCGGTGGGGTCTTCTGCCCTTGCCGACCAATGATTGACCAGGTCGACGCGACCGCCGGGAGAGAGGTTGTTTGGACTCGGAGTTCAGATCAGGGTCACTTGAGGCAGTCATCGAAGCGAGCTCGGAGCGACGACGGAGATGCTCGTTCCCGCGCGGGCGGTCCGACTTCCACGAATGGGAGCGGGGGGAAGCCGCCGTTCTACTGGCAGTACGAGAGCTCCAAGCGTTTCCCCATCTAGAATGATGAGGAGGGAACAGCTCGCATTCATCTCCACTTCAAGCCCGTCGAATGCCGGCTCCCATCCCTGAATCAGATGTCTGAGAGAGAGCTCTACATCGCGGTGTCTGCTGCGAGCGGGACTGAGACCGTTTGATGTTCCTCCCTTGGATTGAGACCGTTTCACTCATGTTTGTCCTCATAGTAATGTGGAGAACCTATTAATCCATGTTTGGGTAAGTATGGGTCCATCTAGTTCATCTTATACACTACAAGTGAGTTTCCACAATGTGGAGTCACAGAGGTACATTTCGGACTCCTTACCTCTTCCGGTTCCCAAATTTGGTCCATTTGATGTTCCTCCCTTGGATTGAGACCGTTTCACTCATGTTTGTCCTCATAGTCATGTGAGAACCTATTAATCCATGTTTGGGTAAGTATGGGTCCATCTAGTTCATCTTATACACTACAAGTGAGTTTCCACAATGTGGAGTCACAGAGGTACATTTCGGACTCCTTACCTCTTCCGGTTCCCAAATTTGGTCCATTTGATGTTCCTCCCTTGGATTGAGACCGTTTCACTCATGTTTGTCCTCATAGTCATGTGTAGAACCTATTAATCCATGTTTGGGTAAGTATGGGTCCATCTAGTTCATCTTATACACTACAAGTGAGTTTCCACAATGTGGAGCACAGAGGTACATTTCGGACTCCTTACCTCTTCCGGTTCCCAAATTTGGTCCATTTGATGTTCCTCCCTTGGATTGAGACCGTTTCACTCATGTTTGTCCTCATAGTCATGTGGAGAACCTATTAATCCATGTTTGGGTAAGTATGGGTCCATCTAGTTCATCTTATACACTACAAGTGAGTTTCCACAATGTGGAGTCACAGAGGTACATTTCGGACTCCTTACCTCTTCCGGTTCCCAAATTTGGTCCATTTGATGTTCCTCCCTTGGATTGAGACCGTTTCACTCATGTTTGTCCTCATAGTATGTGGAGAACCTATTAATCCATGTTTGGGTAAGTATGGGTCCATCTAGTTCATCTTATACACTACAAGTGAGTTTCCACAATGTGGAGTCACAGAGGTACATTTCGGACTCCTTACCTCTTCCGGTTCCCAAATTTGGTCCATTTGATGTTCCTCCCTTGGATTGAGACCGTTTCACTCATGTTTGTCCTCATAGTCATGTGTAGAACCTATTAATCCATGTTTGGGTAAGTATGGGTCCATCTAGTTCATCTTATACACTACAAGTGAGTTTCCACAATGTGGAGTCACAGAGGTACATTTCGGACTCCTTACCTCTTCCGGTTCCCAAATTTGGTCCATTTGATGTTCCTCCCTTGGATTGAGACCGTTTCACTCATGTTTGTCCTCATAGTCATGTGTAGAACCTATTAATCCATGTTTGGGTAAGTATGGGTCCATCTAGTTCATCTTATACACTACAAGTGAGTTTCCACAATGTGGAGTCACAGAGGTACATTTCGGACTCCTTACCTCTTCCGGTTCCCAAATTTGGTCCATTTGATGTTCCTCCCTTGGATTGAGACCGTTTCACTCATGTTTGTCCTCATAGTCATGTGGAGAACCTATTAATCCATGTTTGGGTAAGTATGGGTCCATCTAGTTCATCTTATACACTACAAGTGAGTTTCCACAATGTGGAGTCACAGAGGTACATTTCGGACTCCTTACCTCTTCCGGTTCCCAAATTTGGTCCATTTGATGTTCCTCCCTTGGATTGAGACCGTTTCACTCATGTTTGTCCTCATAGTCATGTGGAAACCTATTAATCCATGTTTGGGTAAGTATGGGTCCATCTAGTTCATCTTATACACTACAAGTGAGTTTCCACAATGTGGAGTCACAGAGGTACATTTCGGACTCCTTACCTCTTCCGGTTCCCAAATTTGGTCCATTTGATGTTCCTCCCTTGGATTGAGACCGTTTCACTCATGTTTGTCCTCATAGTCATGTGTAGAACCTATTAATCCATGTTTGGGTAAGTATGGGTCCATCTAGTTCATCTTATACACTACAAGTGAGTTTCCACAATGTGGAGTCACAGAGGTACATTTCGGACTCCTTACCTCTTCCGGTTCCCAAATTTGGTCCATTTGATGTTCCTCCCTTGGATTGAGACCGTTTCACTCATGTTTGTCCTCATAGTCATGTGTAGAACCTATTAATCCATGTTTGGGTAAGTATGGGTCCATCTAGTTCATCTTATACACTACAAGTGAGTTTCCACAATGTGGAGTCACAGAGGTACATTTCGGACTCCTTACCTCTTCCGGTTCCCAAATTTGGTCCATTTGATGTTCCTCCCTTGGATTGAGACCGTTTCACTCATGTTTGTCCTCATAGTCATGTGGAGAACCTATTAATCCATGTTTGGGTAAGTATGGGTCCATCTAGTTCATCTTATACACTACAAGTGAGTTTCCACAATGTGGAGTCACAGAGGTACATTTCGGACTCCTTACCTCTTCCGGTTCCCAAATTTGGTCCATTTGATGTTCCTCCCTTGGATTGAGACCGTTTCACTCATGTTTGTCCTCATAGTCATGTGGAGAACCTATTAATCCATGTTTGGGTAAGTATGGGTCCATCTAGTTCATCTTATACACTACAAGTGAGTTTCCACAATGTGGAGTCACAGAGGTACATTTCGGACTCCTTACCTCTTCCGGTTCCCAAATTTGGTCCATTTGATGTTCCTCCCTTGGATTGAGACCGTTTCACTCATGTTTGTCCTCATAGTCATGTGGAACCTATTAATCCATGTTTGGGTAAGTATGGGTCCATCTAGTTCATCTTATACACTACAAGTGAGTTTCCACAATGTGGAGTCACAGAGGTACATTTCGGACTCCTTACCTCTTCCGGTTCCCAAATTTGGTCCATTTGATGTTCCTCCCTTGGATTGAGACCGTTTCACTCATGTTTGTCCTCATAGTCAATGTGGAGAACCTATTAATCCATGTTTGGGTAAGTATGGGTCCATCTAGTTCATCTTATACACTACAAGTGAGTTTCCACAATGTGGAGTCACAGAGGTACATTTCGGACTCCTTACCTCTTCCGGTTCCCAAATTTGGTCCATTTGATGTTCCTCCCTTGGATTGAGACCGTTTCACTCATGTTTGTCCTCATAGTCATGTGTAGAACCTATTAATCCATGTTTGGGTAAGTATGGGTCCATCTAGTTCATCTTATACACTACAAGTGAGTTTCCACAATGTGGAGTCACAGAGGTACATTTCGGACTCCTTACCTCTTCCGGTTCCCAAATTTGGTCCATTTGATGTTCCTCCCTTGGATTGAGACCGTTTCACTCATGTTTGTCCTCATAGTAATGTGAGAACCTATTAATCCATGTTTGGGTAAGTATGGGTCCATCTAGTTCATCTTATACACTACAAGTGAGTTTCCACAATGTGGAGTCACAGAGGTACATTTCGGACTCCTTACCTCTTCCGGTTCCCAAATTTGGTCCATTTGATGTTCCTCCCTTGGATTGAGACCGTTTCACTCATGTTTGTCCTCATAGTAATGTGGAGAACCTATTAATCCATGTTTGGGTAAGTATGGGTCCATCTAGTTCATCTTATACACTACAAGTGAGTTTCCACAATGTGGAGTCACAGAGGTACATTTCGGACTCCTTACCTCTTCCGGTTCCCAAATTTGGTCCATTTGATGTTCCTCCCTTGGATTGAGACCGTTTCACTCATGTTTGTCCTCATAGTAATGTGGAGAACCTATTAATCCATGTTTGGGTAAGTATGGGTCCATCTAGTTCATCTTATACACTACAAGTGAGTTTCCACAATGTGGAGTCACAGAGGTACATTTCGGACTCCTTACCTCTTCCGGTTCCCAAATTTGGTCCATTTGATGTTCCTCCCTTGGATTGAGACCGTTTCACTCATGTTTGTCCTCATAGTAATGTGGAGAACCTATTAATCCATGTTTGGGTAAGTATGGGTCCATCTAGTTCATCTTATACACTACAAGTGAGTTTCCACAATGTGGAGTCACAGAGGTACATTTCGGACTCCTTACCTCTTCCGGTTCCCAAATTAGGTCCATTTGATGTTCCTCCCTTGGATTGAGACCGTTTCACTCATGTTTGTCCTCATAGTCATGTGAGAACCTATTAATCCATGTTTGGGTAAGTATGGGTCCATCTAGTTCATCTTATACACTACAAGTGAGTTTCCACAATGTGGAGTCACAGAGGTACATTTCGGACTCCTTACCTCTTCCGGTTCCCAAATTTGGTCCATTTGATGTTCCTCCCTTGGATTGAGACCGTTTCACTCATGTTTGTCCTCATAGTCATGTGTAGAACCTATTAATCCATGTTTGGGTAAGTATGGGTCCATCTAGTTCATCTTATACACTACAAGTGAGTTTCCACAATGTGGAGTCACAGAGGTACATTTCGGACTCCTTACCTCTTCCGGTTCCCAAATTTGGTCCATTTGATGTTCCTCCCTTGGATTGAGACCGTTTCACTCATGTTTGTCCTCATAGTAATGTGGAGAACCTATTAATCCATGTTTGGGTAAGTATGGGTCCATCTAGTTCATCTTATACACTACAAGTGAGTTTCCACAATGTGGAGTCACAGAGGTACATTTCGGACTCCTTACCTCTTCCGGTTCCCAAATTTGGTCCATTTGATGTTCCTCCCTTGGATTGAGACCGTTTCACTCATGTTTGTCCTCATAGTAATGTGGAGAACCTATTAATCCATGTTTGGGTAAGTATGGGTCCATCTAGTTCATCTTATACACTACAAGTGAGTTTCCACAATGTGGAGTCACAGAGGTACATTTCGGACTCCTTACCTCTTCCGGTTCCCAAATTTGGTCCATTTGATGTTCCTCCCTTGGATTGAGACCGTTTCACTCATGTTTGTCCTCATAGTCATGTGGAGAACCTATTAATCCATGTTTGGGTAAGTATGGGTCCATCTAGTTCATCTTATACACTACAAGT